TACCAGGCGTTGACTCGGTCAGGCTCCGTCTCGATCGTCGTCTCATCGAGCTCTTCGTCGTTGTCAGAGCCTCGATGGCGGCCAGGAACGCTTCTTCATCATCGACACGGTAATGGCCAAACAGAAACTTGGGATCACCGTGTCCCCTCTCAAGACGAGTCTCGATCCAAATAGCCAAGGCAATCAAAACGCAAAAGTCTGGGTCAGCGGCACCCAGCAGATTTGGTTGGGACAAGCACGCTCCTCCTGGACATTCTTGCTCCAGGATACCTTGGTTTCAAGAGCGAAGTTTGGAAACTTGGATGGCTGCGCAATCCAAAGTCTCCATGTTGGTCAAATCATCAGTGCGGCAATCAAGTGAAACTGAACCTTCAACATGGTTGGGATCTTGATTGTCGTGTCAATGTTTGCTCCTCCATCGCGTTCCACAATGCGAATGGTTTTGCGGAATTCCCGGATCTTGAGATCCCTCTTGACATTGGATTTCCTGCCCTGCTTCCTGACCTCAGCCTTCTTCACAGCTTCATCTAAGAAGCGCATTTGTAGGTAGTTCCTGAATTGGGAACCTCTGGTCTAGTTTGGGAAGCACATCCCAACCGCATCTTCCCAACCAAGTGCTAGGTTCCAATTAGGCAAGGCAAGGTCCATTTTGGCAACCTCCACGTGGTTGTGGATTGGAACCTCTCTCAGTTCCAGATTGGGAAGCAAGGTCTAGGTCTAAAAGCTAGGTTCCTAATGTTTTCTTTGGTTGCCAATTCATAATCTTTCTATCAAATTCATTACATGCTATCTAGATTGGTAAGATGTACTCCACCAACACCAAGCCCTTGTGGACTTAGCCAAATCCGCCACACCAAGTCCTCGACGACTACTAGTACTTCGCGACACCCACCAAGTCGAGGACTTGTGCATACAGGAAAATGGGTACCGACACATGAATCACCGACCAAACACTAGGAAATAACAAGAAGGGATGAACCCAGTAGGAGGATCCACTCTCTTGTGTGTTGTCCCGTAGCCTCCTCTTATTGTTGCCATTCAATGACTCGACGACGATCTTCTCCGTTCATGCTGTTGGTAGGGCTGGAGTTAACAGAGCCTCCTCCATAGCGATCAATCGACAGCAGCCTCTTCTTCCTCGTGTTCTCCGGAGCGACCGATCGTTCGTTCGACAATGGGATTTCCTCGGCCATCAGCAGTACAGCAGAGAAAACAACAAATAGATATGAGTTTTGTTTTCTGTGCTCAACTGCAGACGACCGGAGACTTACCATTGTTTTTCAAATTGCACCAACTTGGCCGTCCATGGCCGAGAACTGACTGCCATCCCACGGTCCATAGGATTCAATGAGGGATGGCTTTCCAATCTGCACCGGAGAAGGATGGCTTGAGTGAGGCTTGGATAACAGAGGTGCGACCGATTCGATTCGAATAATTAAAACAACTCACCTGTTGACGGCCGAGCTTGGAATTCTCTCCTGAATACCATAGAAATCCAATGAGGGAGAGAAGTCAGCGCTGTACCTTCAATTAACACTCTTGATAATAGGCTTACCTCATTGCGATCGATCGATCGATCGATCGGCCGATTGGATAAAGAACTCTCCACTCTTGTCGGCCAAGCTTGGATTTACCTCCTGTTTACCATAGGAATACAATGAGGGAGAGAAGTCATTGATGCGCCTTCAATAATAACATACTTGATAATAGACTTACCCGTAATAGTAGTAGTAGCCATCGATCGATCGTTGACGGCCGAGCTTGGAATTCTCTCCTGCCTCGTCGTAACAGTAGTAGCGATCGGCCGCTCCTCCTCCACCATTGTGTTGCTCTTGTTGTTGGTTGAGCAGTGAGGCTGCTTTCGAAGAAGAGGGTAGTCGGGCAGGCTGTTCCCTGAAGTCTGTTTGAATATTTTAGTGTGAAAATAGAGTACTCTCCAATGACACTTCCCAAAACAGCTTGCCCTCCTTATAAATCCAAGCCCACCTTGCCACACAGCAGCATTGCCACATCCATATCAAGGGCTTATCAGCTCACCGATAGATGCTTCTCCCCTTACAGAACAAAGAACAACCTTCCAATAGTGGCTTCTCCTCCTCCCCAGAACACACACCCAACATCCAACTTGGCGCCACAGCGTTCTGGGAACTTTTTCCTTGTCGATTGGGAAGCTGTTTTGGTACCAAACAGGGAACTCACAGGTTGTGTGCCCAAGGGTAGGAGATACAAAAAAGGAGGTCAAAATAGATAGTTCCATATTGAGGAGAAAGACATGTTGTCAATCTAGAACCACTGAGGGTACCAATAGAGAACCTGCAGTCCAGATTACAAGAAATGACTCAAATCTAGAAGAAAGTTGGTTGTTGATTCACAACTAAAAGGTTGAGTATGGGAACATCCATACATGATGATTCAACAACTACCTAAAAATGTGCTTCTTAGATGTTTGATCACTTCGTTGACACACCTGGATCGAGTGGGATTCCCAACATTGGGACCAACAGCCCATGATGCGTGGCGGTTCGGATGGAAGTGGCTGATGGCCTTCTTGTATTGTTCAAGAGTGGTAGATCTCTTGTGGGTGGGGCGGTCATTGGGCCCTGGGTTGATCTTTCCATAGGCAAGGAAGTTGAGGAACTGGGCGACATCAGTGGGTGTAATTTCTAGGAGCTGGTCCTGAAGAACAAAAAATGAAGAAGAGCGACCATGGTGTGAGCGGCAGAGTGAAAATCGTGGAGCGACCGACCGAAATGACAGATTTGGCGAAGGGACGAAGGAGCGAAGCAACACCATACCTGTGTAAAGCTCCTCTTGCTATTATATGGTGTCTGCCGGCCGTGCTTCCAAGACATAAACCTGGTGAGTGCTGGCCGGTATTGTTGGTCAAGCGACTTCCTCTTCCTCGCCATTGTCGAGGTTGGAACAAACAAAAGAGCGAGTAGGAGGATAACAAAATAGCGATGCATAGCTTTCGCCTTTTTCGATTGGCAAATTTATGGAGAGGAGAGGACTGATCGATCAGCACTCCCTGCACTCCCAACGGTAGTCGGTATCACGGGATACATGCGTTGATTCGGAGGGTAGCAATGGGAGTTTACGCTCTTTCAGTACAAAGACAGAGGTTCCGGGTTGTTAAATCTTTGAGTTGCGCGGAACGTTTGTGTGTGACTAGGTTGTATTTTTGACACGAGTGACAAGGATACTTAGGGCAAAAGTTGTATTTTGGGGTTGCCGATGCAACTACCAATGCGATTCTGAGTAGTATTGGATACCCTCAAATGACTGGTTTTCCCCGGCAGAATACCCTCACAAGTCTTATCGTATTACCATACCCCAATAAAGGATACCACTATGTAAGGGGGCTGGCGCTAGCACGAGCCACTAAGACTACACCCCAAGTCCCACCAACCAGTGCGATCCCCCAAAGACTGATACCCTCTATCATGTGACTACGGTTGTATATTGGTAATACAGTACCGGTATGCAAGCATTCGCAACTAGCAGCAAAATGATCTCATATTAAAGATGGAGGGAGTACTCATCATAGACATCTGAAGCATGCTGACTCTGGAACATTCCTGAGCGGAGCTGGGAGCTGCAGAATGATTGAAGGGGGTCATAGAATGATTCGATTGATTATTCGACTCATTCCATTAAAGAACAAGCAGCCGGAGGCTGATGCCCTCAACTGTCAAAAAGAGATTTGATTGGTCAAATCATTTACCGTGTTCAACTGGACACACTATTGATAGCAAGTCTCCATAGCCAGCCAGTACGGGCACAGTGGTATCGGTACCCATGGGTCCAGAGTACTGTGTCCAACAGAACACACAATATAAATCCCTATCCTTAACAAGGAAAATGTCCCTTATGTCTTTGGCAAAACCTCCACCGTGTTTATCTGGACACACTAGCGAGTCTGCATAGCCAGCCAGTACTGGTACCCATGCGTAGAAACTACTGTGTCCAACAGAACACACACGATTAATCCCTATCCTTAACGAGCGACGAAAACAGCTGCAACAAACACACACACCACACACACACACACACACACACACACAACACACAACAACACAACACACATACAGCGATAAAAGTGTGAAAGACCCTCAGTCCGTTGAGGGCAATCTTGTCGGTGAGAGCCTGGGCGAAAGGGCCGGAAATCAGGATTTTTAGAATCCAAATAGATTGATCAATTCCAAACCAAAGTATAAAATCTAAATCTAAATATAAAACCGAAACCAAATTACTATGGTTAATAACTAGTATAATCAAGCCGTACCAAAATATAAAATCGAAACCAAAATATAAAATCGAAACCAAAATATAAAGCAGAATTACTTGTAAATCGCGATTTCGGGCCCTTTCGGCGTGGAAGAGGTGTATTTCGTGTTGAAACATGTACACCGTATCGCAGCGTGGAAGCCTGGTCCAAAGACGGTTCCGTGGCCACACGCACAAAATTGAATTCATGTATTGGAGACGACGCGACACTTTCGCTGCAACTAGACTACATTGTTCAGATAGTCGCAGTCTCACCACCAGCAACTCTTGTTGCTACACTGTACATCATGTCCGTCCAGCCAAGCAAGAAACATGGTACCCATACAGGATACGAAGGCCACTTGGAGGACAGTATGCAGGGAATGCACCTCCTTCTTCACAGAGGTCTTGTGGTTCCATCGACTCTGACATTGTTGCTCCCAAGGGTAGAATCTCAATTGAACTTTTTCTTTCCTTCTTGGAGAATGGCAACAATCAAACCAACAATCTTTTTAATGTCGTCCGGTTTCTCCGAGCTGATGGACCTGTGTGTTGTTTGTACAATTAATTGTAGAACCCTCTAACCTGATGAATGACCATTCAACATAAGTGGTGGCTATGCCAAAGATAGTTTGTTGTTCCTTTTCCATTTCATGATGCTTTCGTTTTCGTTTTCGGGTGTTGGTATCTCTCACCGCCACCAGCTGTGCAATATTTTGTGCAATGCCTCTGTCAAGACTGTCCTTCTTCCCTTCCGTCACACATATAGTGACATCATTGAAACTAAAGACATAGTCGATTGGCCCATTGACATCTTCACTCTCATAAACCTGCTCCACCATCATCTTAATATCTTTCTCTTCGCCTCCTGCCACCCGAGCAGACGCGAGTAGTATTGGATCAATATAGAGACGCCTTGTTGCCTCGTAGGATTGTTCAATGGGTACAACCTCTTTGCGCCTTCTAATAGTGTCAATTGCATGAACAAGCTCTTCGATTTGCGGTTCGCTAAATTCTGTCAACGGTTTTGGGAACTTATCATTGGAGACAGGAAGCCTGACGTCGTCAGAGGTTGCATCAACAAGATGCAACGCATCCTTGATGCTCGTGAAACTGGAGAAATCATCTTGTAAATTCTTCACTCTTATGATACGTTCATTCAGATTTGGTCTTGTGATGAGGGAAACAAAAACATTGTTGTCCTCCAATGGAATCTCTGCCCCGTCTTTGATGTAAGAGAACCCCAAAGCAGCGATGGGCAACAATTCACGAGCCTTTTCGAGAATAGCTGATAGTGACAGATTATTCTTCATCACTGCACATTTCTCCCTTTTCTTCCCGTAGTGCAAAGTGATTTCAATAGTGTCATGTAGATAAAGATCTCATTCACCGGGGCATGATTGATGTCTGGACTCAATTTTGCTTTTGCTGCCTCTGCTAATAAGGCATCAATATTCCAGTCGCTTTCCTTTACATCAGTTGGTTTTTTCACTGAAGTGGGTCGGCCCTCCGCTTTCCCTTGTAGTAGAGCTGAACCCAAACAGATGAAGAAGACATGTATGATAGTTGTCCAAAAATGATACTAGTACTGTCTGTAGTTGTTGTTGTTGCAACGTTCATTGGCTTCAACGGGAGCTCGTCCTTGGACCGACAACCATCAATTGATTCGATGATTCGATAAAGATTTGTCACGCTGTTTTCACTGTGTGGTTGGGTGTAGATAGCGTGATTGCCTACCAGTGAAGTCAGCTGATCTATCGTGAAAATTGGATCGGAGTATAGATAATAGAGTACAATTTTGCTTCGATTACCACGATGCATACAGCGAAAGTGTCTGTTCGAAGAACTGTGGAAGATAGGCTTCGTTCTCACAAAATCCTAATGGCAGGATGTGTTCCTCTACATGCAGTGCTTCGTGGGCTTTCTTTTCTTCTTGTGGCAGCTTCCATGTCCAGTCCAACTTTGAGCCTTTTGAAATTATCGGCAATGTCAAGACCGTGGAGTGCGTTCAGGCTAACATCAACGTCGGTATGACAATCTGGATGATGGATCCATGGACCAAGACGTTTACGCCCTATGTCTGCTCGGTATGCGATGAAACCATCATGCATGAAAACAATGTGGAAGGTTGTTCTTCGATAGTTAAAGAAGGTTCAAGAACATCATACGTTGGGACAAAGTCTTCCAAGATCATCCGGATACCGTTGTGAAGCTGTTGAAGACTGTTACCGCTTTAGGATCCACCTGCGAGGGTTCTGAAGGGATGTCGAAGATGGCTTGGTGAACTGGCGCTTTCACCACGTGGAGTTTACGGGAAAAGGCGCAAACGGTCGGAATGGGGCATATCCTGTTGCAAAGGATGTCACGGGAAACTTAAGAAGGATGAAGCCTGAAACGCACTATATGCTATTGTCAACAGCAATCTTGTTGGATGTGCACCTGATATTCTCAAGGAATTAACAGAAGTCGAGATAGCCTTTATTACGCCAGTGAAATCTTACGGGTACTGTTTTTCCTATGTTGGCGGAAGGATGAAACTTTGAAGGGGATCATGACCTTTATGCGGTAGACTACAATGTGATTGGTCGTGCAACGGCACATCTAGAAGCAATGGGCCTGAACTAAGAATGTCGTGTACTGCTATCGGGAAGATGCCGCCAGACCAGAAAAAGAAGGCAACTCGGATTTTCGTACCGACAAGATCATGGTGCTGTGGAATGGCTTGTACAGAATAAACGGAGCTGGAACCACGTCGATCTTGATGCGTACCGCAAGGAGTTAGAGGGTGTGACAACTGTGATAGTGGATCACAGTAAAGAAGTCGAATCTGAGATTCGAATGTGGAGCAACACGAAATTTTCAGCTGCTAATTTCCCGATGGTCTAGCTAATGAGACAATGGTGGATTGATAACATGAGCGAGTCAAGACATTTGTCCAGGGAGATGCAAGAGAAGGGGTTCGATTTACAGCTCCAGGATGATCCTACAAAGGCTTTTTACAAGGGACGGATTCTGATGCCTTGATCAGTCGTGTTTGCTGAACTTCCCATATGGCGTCGGAAGTAGAAGGATTTCAGACTCATGGAGGCAGGATGTTGGAGGAACTGGACGAACACAGAAGGACTTCCTGGCGCACTTTGTCAGCTGTCCCAACCGGAATTTCATTCACCTATGTTCCGTGTTGGTTGTGTATAGTATTGGGACAAAAATCCGACTTTTCAAGAGAGCCCGACTTCAGTTGAAGGGGAAGTTTTCTGCAAAGGCAATTGCGGAAGGTTCTAGATGGAGATGACGTGTCTAGGGCTATATACAGTCGAAGAGCAGGGAATTATCAAGCCGAGTCTACTTCAAGCAAGTGCATACTGGATGCCGTAAATGCTATCAGCAAAAGCACTGCCCCACACAAATGAAGCAGCCAAGTTGGCTAGAGGTACCGTCTGAATCAATGAACCACTACTTTGGCAGGGTACTGTATTCTTGACAGGAGCTTTGATGACGAAAACAGTGTGTAATGGAAGTACTAAGCGGGAAGAAGTGGAAGGGCCTGAGGTGATTGGAAGATGCAAGCGAGGAGATTCTTCAAGACAGAAGCAAAGAACGGAGACAGCTTCGTTAGATTTTCCAGCACTAGAGCACTCATTTCGATATGTTGTTCGACATTCTATTGAAGAAGTTATAGGATGGGAACGCCATAACAACTGTGCTACAGAAGAGAGCGGGACTTTTTGGGGAAGTGTTGCGATGGCAGCAGCATTTGAAGAACAAAGCCGAAAGTCAGTGCACACCCATCTTACAGTTTGATCAAGAATTTCTTTAAGCTGCAGAAGGTGTTTGTGCGCAGCGAGATCGGAACGGAAAGAGATGTCCGACAATGCCTTTCAAGATACCACGAACGGATGCTACCACAGAGATGTTCCCCACAGATACCAGAACTCTCCTGGATCTTTCTGATCATGCTTGTAAAGTGTCCAAGAGTTTCGGGATCCCCCTGTGGTTGTGTCGGATAGCTACTCCGGTACCTAAGACATAAGAAGGGGTACAGACGCTGTACCGGGAAAGTTTGCATACTGTGATCACTGCGGATTCGAATTTACTTATGAGGATCTGTTGACGGTTATTTACGACAGTGTGAAAGAATGAATGGATCAGGACCCACCGTGTGATGAGGGGAACATAGTGCCAAAACCCAGAATGCAGGCTCGTGTTGTGGAATTTCCAGAAGAGTATCGGGGCACACAGTAATCTGAAACACCTAACAGTGATTATTAATGCTCTCTATCAACATCATACTTCTTGTCATGTCAAGGATGCTTCAAGTGGCAACAAGCTGGGTCGAGCGCATACAGTGGACTCAGCCCCAAAGTGCGAATGCTCGATACAGGCTCCTGACAGCCTCGGTCGGAATCAAGTGTGGTTGCAGTGAATACAGAAACAAGTGGTTTGCATTGGACGGAGGTTCCCGGAAACAGCCATAGTGGAATTCCAAACGAAAAAGGAATGCGTATGATCTGTTCCAGAATCAGTCGTCAAGGCTATTTCAGAGTCAAGTTTGCATGCAACAGCAACGTATCTCTTATTACGGTTGGACCCTTTTCATGTACAGATGAAGTACCAACACAAGTCTACGCAGAAGACGACACGGCCGAGTAGCTACTGTTGAGCGTGCTATTAAGTCCCTAAACGGATGAGTGTATGAAGAGCGATGACAAGGAGGCTCTTCGTCCGATCTGCCGTGCAGCTTTATGCCCATAACAAGTCAAAATATCATTGGTCCATCATTGGTCTCATTCATTACGCGGAACAAATCAAGGTTCTACTTTCGCATCTCTTTCTCTACTGACCGATCAAAAGATGTAATGTTGCTGTTGACACAAACAAGAAGTGTCATCAGAACTACGATATTCACCACAGGTCAGGCTTATACTTGAGAACCAGCGCGTTCCACTATCTGTGTCGAAAACAAAGATCTATAGAATGTGTCAGTGAAGCGGTTTTACGAGCTTTTACGAGGAACGACCAATGAGAGTGTCCACAGGCGGAACGTCAGCGAACTGATAAGGAGAAATGGCCTTTTATGGGTGACACTGGCATTTCGTGCATCCATCAGCGATCAAGGAAACGACGGGGTGTTAACTGGTGAAACTTCAGGCGGGAGTAATTTTGAGGAAAGAAGAGCATTGGTTTCGGGTTCCACAATGGGTCCTTCTCAGATTGCAGGCGGTTTTGGTGCGAATATCCAGACGTGTCCTACTGGCGAACTGAACCGGGCAATGGAACTTATGCGGAGTGCTGATTGGTTTGTACTTTGCCGCATCGATGTTTGGCTGATTTATAAAGAAGTCCGTACCCAGACCAACTTATGCTTCTGCTGAAAGACTTCGTGAAGTGTATGAATACGATGTTCTGAGAAAGCGAATAACGAAGAACCCGTCTGCTTCTCAGAAAGGAACCTGTCATTCATCCAGAACATTCAAGACACCATTTCAACAACCCGAGGTATAAGGTGAAAGAGGATGATCTTCAACGAGTTACCAAGCCCTATAGACCGGAAAATTGGGAGGAGAACATGTACGAAAACGAATCTGATTGCAATACACGTCTCTTTAGCCTTATTCGCGACTCGATCCTAGATAGGGTTTGGAATCGACTCATGACGGAGTCTTTCGTGAATATCATTGAGACAGGGTTCTCATGACCGCTAGTCATACTAGGTCGATGTGAAACATCGCGCTAGAATATTTAGCCAGCGAGGAAGAGTTCCACGCTACAGATAAATCTAGAACTGAATCTTTCCACGTGTTCCGTTTGAATTACCGTTGGAGTACTTAGAGCTATTACGCAACCTACTAACACACCTACAGTATCCCGCGGGAGTTCAGATCTACGATCCTTTGATTAGTGAGATCTCTCTCGTGATATAGTAGTTTTCATAGCTTTCAATCCTCTCATAACTTTTTCATAATCTCTAACTTCAAAACACTCGAAGATCTTTACACTAGCTTTTAGCGAGCTAGTGCATTTTGTTAACAAAACACAATAGCTTTCAACTACCCTCAACACTATTCCTCACCATGAATATTGCCAAAGACGCATTACACCAGCTTTCGAGTCTAAGCTGTGCGCAAACCCAATCCTTCCTCTCATCGACCTCGACAGATGACATGCGAAATCGACGCATTCTCGCTCTACCACCTAACAAATTCGCTCTGTGTCCAGCAGATGCTAACAGCGCCAAGTACACCATCCAAGGTCAAATACATCAATGGATCTGAGACTCCACGTCAGACCATCAAGTGGGCTGGACGTATGGAGA